AAAAAAAAAAAAATGCTCAGCAAGAGTATAAAAGATGTTCTGATGACTGACACTTTGACCAGGGTTGCACAACACTTTGAAAAGAAGGCAGAACAATCGAGAATAACACTGCGACCGATCCAATTTTCATTCCTGCACCAAGTTTTCAAATTCAATTTAGGTTTAGTTAAAGGTGGCGATTACCTTTGTGGATAGCTCTCGCAGCGCACTGATAATGAGGGTGCTTGAAGTCCGACAGCCAATAATTGCCCGAATGCATCGATCCCACCCTGCAAATTCATTCTTTTGAGCCTATTTGGTGCTTCTTTGACTTGTAAGAAAACAGAAGGTGAGCGCAATGAAAAAACTCTAGGCTTCTTGCTCTACACTTTGTGCGATTACTAGCGTAAATCACTGTAAATTTTGCGTAAAAGAAAATAAAAATTTCCATTTAACGGTCTTTCTTTCAAAATGACCTGGTTGTACAGTGAACAATTTGTCCGCCAAAACTTTGGCGTGCTTATAAGTGAGAATCACGCGCATCTGGGCGCTAAATTTGAGAGCTTTGAGTTGCACTTGGACAGGACACATCCCTGTAAAATTTCAGCCCCCAGCTTTTTTAGTAGAGACACACATACATGCATACACGAACATCCACACATAGACAACTCCTTAACAACATGCATTTGTGCGTTGCACAGATGCAAAAAAACACATAAAAAGTATTATTAAAAGATAAGGACAGGCTGTATAAAAAGATGAAAATAAGCTGTATGTATTGCAGTGTCCGATTTTTGATACAACCGGAAGAACCAAGGACCCATACACTACATCTGCAAATCAACAAAAAAATCTGAACATCCATTTGTCCATCTCTCAGACAAACTTGCTCTGCGAAAACAGATCTACTAAAAAACAGGCATACGGGCCAAGAAAGGCTTCCAGATCATCATCATAAGTCTGCAGCTACAAAATAAAAATTGGAATGATTTAAATTAGAGAATGAATACATACCAATAAAGTAAATGCAGGACACCAAACACAACATAAACATACACAAACATAAGCCGTGGTGTATTAGAGTACGTGTTTTGCATGTGCATAAATACGCAAAAAAAGCGTAAAAATGGGTTTACCGAAAATGATTCGGAGAGCCTCTCTTTTTCCAAAGCGCATTCAAATGATTCAGGACAATTTGGTCAACCTTAGCCGGTTCCATGTTTGGCACCAAACGTATGCTGAACTTCCCGATTACTTTCGATGGAATGATTGTCTTTGCACCCTCGCCACTGAATGCCCCTTCAATACCTGCAGTAGTGCCCGCATTATGGCCGAGTAAGACGAAGACCCACAAAAACGACTGGATGTGATTGCGCAGATACATATGGTATCAAGTAACAAAACTGGACCTCAGCTTTACTCTGCAGTCCAAGCCACACACCAAACACGGCATAAAATATTACACACTTCATTTCAAATGGGCGATAAATGAGCTTGTTTTGAGAAACTGTTCTTGAATGCACGAAAGATTTCTTTTTGAATGATACTGTGAAATAAAGTGCGACATCGCCGGTACTGTACTTTAGATGCGCGCACGGATCATCCATTTTCTTTCACACACCAAACAGAAAAAAAAAAAAAAAAAACGATGGAAGTGCTAAGGATGCACAGCGATGCATCATTGTCCCAACCATTCGTGACAGCTAATCATGACCAGTGGGATGAAGTATAATAAGCAGTTGGAAAAGCTCGAAGCTGACAGCTAGCCCATTTGCTAATCTTGGAATGTCTGGTAATAAAAAGCGGCGTACCCGGTGGTCTAATTCCTTCTAATTGTGTGAACTGCGCACTGTTAAAAATACGTTTGAAAATTTAAATGACAAAAAAATACCATGAAGAGACAGGGAGGGATTTCTCCAGCGATTCATCAGCACTTTCTCTTTTTGGTCGCTTATAAGTCTGACAGCACCAATATCCGATCGATAATCTTCCTGAAAGTATGCTCATACAACTACTCGTTTAACAATTCAATATAAAACGCTAAGAGGAAAAACTATTTTTAAATGTGATACCATGTCAAAATCCAGTGCCTTGTAAAGTCGTCTTTCTTCATCCGTAACAGGAGCAACTAAATCTAAAAGGCCGTCGATTTTGATATTCCCGTTAACATCGCTTAACTGACTCATCATCCAAATAACATCGGCCAAAGGTTCATACCTGCATTAGATTAAAAATAAATAGCAGCGC